CAGAGAGATGCAGGGCCTGTTGTTGCAGCTTCTCTCACTGACCACACTGGCGAGGCGGCAAATGCTGCGCTAATGGGGGCACGAAGCTCCTGCACGGAAGCAGCTATATCAGAGGAACCACAGTTTCTGCGGACGGGACCCAAGCTCTGCTCCTGGGAAAGGGCAGCAGGGCTCAGAGCGCTGAGGTTTGGGGGCGCGCGGTCGATTCCCGCCACAGTGTGGTGACGGGGGAAGGCTGAGGGACACAGAGCCCCTGAGGCTCGGCCAAAGAGCTGAAGAAGCTCGTGGAGGCTCTGAAGCAGCTGGTAACACGCAGGGTGAAATCTCCAGGCAAAGGGAAAGTGCTGCTTGACCCAGAAGCCAGGAAACTGAGGCTAGCATCCCTGTTGATGGCTTGATACCGTCACTGCAGACTCACAGCCCAGTTGTGAGTCCCACAGAGCCGCCAGGCCTGGCTGCTTGAAAAAGGAGCAGATGTGGAGGATTTCAACAGGTTCGGCTGAGTTTCCTGGCATTCTCTCTATCTCTTAGTGCTTCCCTGGCCAGCACCCAGAGCATTGGCTGAGCATTGGCACTGCCGGCTAGATTGCTGCAAAGTTCATCTCTGGGCTCCCTGCCACATGCAGCTCTCTCCTTCCTTCCCCCGACCTCCCGCCTTAAGTTTGTCCGAAGTGGAGTTGGGATGATGAGACACATGGTCCCTCATGCCAAATGCTGGGTCCAACCTGCACCTTCGCCTCCCAGGGGCACAGGATCCAGAGAGACCAAGGTCAGAGCCATTTCCCCAGGCTAATTCTCTCTTGGGCTGTTCCAGTTCTCACCACTTCATAGCATAACTCAGCATACCGCTAGGGGCCTGCCCTAGCTCAGGGAGACACACGCATCCCAGAGCTTGCATATTTATACCTGCCTCTGGAAATTTCCACATGCATCTGACGAAGTGCGTATTCACCCATGAAAGCTCATGCTCCAATACGTCTGTTAGTCTATAAGGTGCCACAGGACTCTTTGCCGCTATCCCAGAGCTTGGCTCCCACACCTCCTCACCTCCACTGATGGAGACCCTGCCTCTTGGCCAGAAAGAGAGCCCTTCCAGCACCCTGCTACAGTCCCTTCTGGAAATCCATGCATGCTCTCCTCCCTGCTCATTTATCACGGGGTCATTCCAAGAGCTCTCCCTGGAGTTGCTAAGAGAGAACTAGCTGGCCTGGTTTTTTATAAGGCCACTTGGAGAAGACCTACAGAATTCTAGTTGAGAAAAAAAAATAAAAAAGGAGACGGCATGGGGCATTAGACCTCAGTTCTTCTAGGTAACGAGCAGCCACCACCCACCCAAGAGAATCTAGGGTGCTCCTCATTGGATCAGGCCCTTGGGTAGGGAAATAAACACAGTTTGGGATATTTTTAGGGTTACTATTTGTGGCAGCTGAATTCCAAGCAGAGTTTCAGGCTGGAAGAGAAGGCAACAGAGCTGGACGTTTATGTAATTCCCACGTGACCTGCACTTTAATCCCATAGCTGCTGAGAACTCTCCAAATCTGCCAGTAAATTCAACTGGGCCGACACTAACAAGGGCCCAGCAGTAACAGGCAAAGCAAGTGACACAGAAGGTCCAGCCTGGAGACTGGAGCCAGGCTGATGGCTCAGGTTCACCATGTGCCAACCGCTCCTGACCAGCGCCTTTAAAGGTTTCAAAAGCTGCCTTGAGGGGGCAGGCTAGAGAGGAGAATCGCTGGGAAATCACAGCAGGCTAGTGAGAGTCCAGCAGCCTCCAGCGGAAAGCCCTGGGGCTGCAGCCACGGAGCAGGGTTGGTGCTGGTGCAATTCCAGCGAGGATGCCCTGGAAAGCAGGCTCAGGATGCTCTTTATCCAGAGGATGGTGCAATGGACTAACTGCGCCCATCCTGCCCAGGGAGGCAACCGCCAGGTTTTGCAATACAGTTCTCATAGCAAATTATCGCTCTCTGCACCAGTCAGGGAAACTGCTTGATGCCAGCTGGCAACAGACCCTGGGCCTGATGCAGCACTCCTGACTGATTTCAACGGGGGCAGAGCCCCAGTTTAGAAAGTAGGTTCAGACCCATACATGTGGTTCGTGGAGAAAAGACTCAACTCACAGTAGTCTCCCCTGCGATAAAAAACCCAGTCTCAGCACCCAGTCAGCCGGCTCAGGCAGAGTAGATGTTTGGGCTTGGGCTGGAGTCTGGGCTCCAGGACCTCTTGAGGGGGAGGATCCCAGGTGCCTGCCCAAGCCTGAATGTCTACCCTGCAACTTTACAGCTGCGAGCCCCAGTCAGCTGACCTGGGCCAGCTGTGGCTGCAGTGGGTCTTCTATTGCAGTGTAAACGTACCCTTAAGGACTCCAATCTGGTGTCATTCATGCACATGAAACTCCCCTCACAGTCAATGGGAGCTGCACCTGAGTAAAGCAGCTGGGCCTTACTTAGTTAATGCAGCCTACTACTGTGGCCTCCTGGAGGTAGGGCTCATGACATGTAAAACAGGGCGAGCAACATCAGCAGGAATATCCTAGGAACTACCACCCACTTTAACAAGCTGGATAATTGCAGGGCTCTAGTTCCCATATTTACTGTCTTTCCTCTTTGCAGCAAGCTGGCAAGGAGCATTAAGAAACAAACATAATTTTGTTCCATGAGCCTGTGTCCACCTGCTGAAGACAGCCTGCGGCTGGGGCCAGGTGGAGTGGGCAGGCGTGTTCTGCATGCCCCCACCGCCCCACACATTGTATGGAGGCCCTGCTGTAAGGACCCTGCCGGGTTCCAGTTCCACAGGGTTGGGGGGCAGGACAGAGAGAGCGGGCTGGGGGTAGAGGGAGGCAGATGAATGGGTTGGGCTCCTTCAGACTCTCCCTCCATTCCCAACGTCTGGGGCAAGCGCCAAATCCAGCGGCAGCAGAGTCCTACAGAGCCCCACCCTTACTTTGGGGAATCATCCCACTTCTTCCACAGGGGGAGGGCAAGACAAAGCTCATGCTCCCTGCTGCCAACATTTCTTCTCTGTTCTAGGGCAGGGAGAACAGGACCATGCTTGTTCACTCCCTTTCCCCCACTTCTTTCCTAGGAAGGGGAGATTAGAGACTGGAACCGAAGGACAGACCTGGCTGTCAGCATTTGCTGAATGTCACCCTTTAAGGCTCCCCTGAGGTGGTGCAAGCCAGGTCAGCTGGGCCCAATCCTCCCCCCCCCCCATACCTATCTAACTTCAGTCCTTTCCAATTTACATGGGGATAAGTGAGATCAGAATCAGGCCCGTTAACTTTGTTAAAGCTCCTAGAATATTCCATACACAGGTTTTATTGCCCAGCTGATCAGCCCTCACAGAAGACTTGGGGGAGGTTTTATCTAGCAGTAAGTCTGATTCAGGGAGTTTCTTCATTTCTTTTCCTTCTCTCTAGCCCTGTGTATTTATAAATGCTCTGTATCCCAGTAACCAAACACCCATACATGCTTCATCCTTTGAGCAGAGCAGCCCTGCCTGCTGTGCACAACTTGAGGGAAAAAAAGAAAAGGGGGCCTGTAGGAATCATAAAGCAAGAGAGGAACAAAGAGAGTTTATCATCTGTGCCTCTTACTGTCCAGTGGATCCTGATGCGCTTGTTCTATCCAGGGACAGCACAAAGCCTTGACTCTCAGTTTTGTTTTTCTAAAGCCCTGCTTTAGTCATCATGCCTCAAGGAAAGTGGAGCCCTTCCTAGAACAAGCATGACCCGGCATAGACCGGATCCTGCATTCCCTGGGCACTCTAATTCCCTTGGCTTTGGGAGGTGCACAAGGAAAGTAGGAGCAGGTCTGAAAAGCAAATTCATGTTCCCCCAGCAACACCAAAACAACAGCAGTGCTCAGAAACTCAAAAGCCACTAACGCTGGGGAAACCTCAGGAAAAGTTCCCCAAAACCCTAGCTACAGAATAAAATATTGATCATTATTAATGCAGTTTGTTAAAGAGAAAAGGCCCCCAGTGAGGAATCAACTGCAGGAGACATTAGTCATTCAAAACTACATAAAGTACAGTGAATATAGGCCAGGTGTAAATCAGCATCTCTTCCTTTCGGTGGCAATAGCATGATTTACACCAGCTGAGACTCTGGCCCATTATGTGTTTGCACATGTCTGATGGGAGGCTGGATTGGTAAACACAAGCACCACGTTGTCAAAGGGGTAATAATGACTAGGAAATGACTAGTTCTAAAATCCACGGCTAGCAGTGTGCTACCCTTGCCTCTCTTAAGAGCTGTATGGATCTTAGTTATCAAATCTTCACAAAAGGCAACATAGTAAAATCAGTCTTGGGCGGGTCAAAAGTTTTCCAAGAAACCTGTTTTTTGAGGGAACATTGGGGTTTTCGACTAATACACATTTTTCACGGGAAGGATCTGCTTTCTGCGGAAAATTTAGATTTTTAATTGAAAAACTCAAATACCCCCAACTCAAAAGATTTTGGCCAAAAAACATGATTCTGGGTGTGGGTCAAATTTTGGGAGGGGTTTCAGCTTCTTTTGAAAATTTTGCTGGGGAAAAAAAATCAAAATTTTCTGCAGACATTTTTCTTTCAGACAGGGGCTGGCTCTGCCCAGGGGCTGGCGAAGTCCACAGGTCCCACTGGCTTCACTACAACAGTGGGCGCTCAGCTCGGGGACAAGCGAGCCCTGAGAGCTGCTCCTAGAGCGGAGAACTGCATCTCAACCCGCTACGGTTTTCCAGCCATGTATTTTTTGAATGAGAAAATAAAACTATTCGCAAGGAAGGGCGCTTGCAGGGACCGGCCCAGCAGCCCTGAGCTCAGCGTTACGCGGGGGCTCGCTGTCCTGCCAGGGAGCTGAGCCTCCGAGTTCACCCGGCTGCAGCGGGGGGGACAGGACGGCTCCCCGGCGCTGGGATCCCTGAGCCAGCATCTCGGGAGCTGCGGGCGCCCGGGCTCTGCCTGGCCCCGGGGCTCCGGGCGCCCCTGTGTTCCCCAGGCTCTGGGTGGCCCCCGCTCACCTTGAAGCCCGGCGGGTCCCGCAGGTCCTTGGTGGGCAGCCACAGCAGCAGGATGCCCACGATGCCGATCCCGCACAGCAGCAGCAGCAGCACCGCGATCACCTTCCTGGCCATGGTGTGCGGTCCCCGCAGGACTGGAGCCGGCCGGGCTGGGGCCGGGGCCGGGGCCGGGGCCGGGGCGGCTGCATGAGCAGGCGGGGCTTCCTCCTGCTTCCTGGCGCGCTGCCCGGGCGCTGAGACGGGCCAGGAGCCCGGGCGAGGGGGTGCAGGTGATCGGCCCGTGGCTCCTCCTCCCGCTGGGGCCGAGACACGGCGGCTGCCGGGGCTGCTGCTGCTGCTGCGCCGGGCCGTGCGCGCTGCGCCCCGGGGCTGGGGCCGGGCCAGGTGGGCGCCGGGCGCTCGCTCCCCTTTGGTCTCCCAGCTGCCCAGAGCAGGGCCCCGCGCCCCGCTGGGCTCTGCAGGCAGTGGGGGCGCTGCGCTGGGGCAGCCAGCCGCCCTTCTTGGCTCTCTCGTCCCAGGCTGAGCCTGCGTGGGGCAGCCGGGGGTTGGCCTGCAGCCGCTAGCCCCAGTTCCAGGCCCCCCGGCTCTGCCTTCGCTGCTACTTTAACCTGCCTTAAGAACACCCCTTTGGGGGGAGGTCCACACAGCGCAGGCGCGAGCCCCCAGTCTAGGTGGCGAGATGTGGGGCAGGGGGCTTGTGTAGACAGCGCTTTGACGGTGGGTTGTGAAACCCAATCGTGCCCCCCTCCCCCGTCCTAGCCTCATTTCAAGCACTGTCTACGCAGCTCTTTTCCTTAGCGCAAGCCCCACTCGCCCAGCCTGGACTGGGAGGCTCGCTCCCACGCTTGCTCCAAAATGCTGTGTAGATAGCCCCTTGTTCGCAGTGTAGACACAGGGCGGTCACACGTTGCCTGAGTACCAGCCATTCCAGTGCTGGCAAGGACACCGTGGGCCCACCCCTGCCAGTGTGACATGTATGCCAAGTAACCGGGGCAGCAGCGGGAGAGCAGCGTGCTCTTCACAATGGTGTACCCCCCTCTGATACCGGACAAAACCACCCCCAGTTTTGTCCCAGTACTGGACAGGGTACGACCCTCTTAAAAAGACTGTCCAGTTTAATAGCGGATGAGTGGCTTCCCTACCGAGACATACCCTGTGTGCTTCCTGCCTGACTTGGCAAGCCATGCACTGCGTTCTGCTAGGGTACCTCTACCGTGGAGCTGGACGTGTCATTTCCAGCTCAGGTACGTGTTCCCATGCTGGTTCTGACCCAGCTAGTTCTCTAGAAATAGACACGTAGCCACCGCAGCCAACTGGAGAGGTTAGTAGCCACCCTGAGTACGTGCCTAGCGCCTTGGATGGGTGCATTCTCGGATGGTGCTGGGGCTGCTACACTGCTGTTTTCAGTGCACTAGGGTTAGGGTTAGGACAGGGGTGGGCAAACTATGGCCCGCAGGCCGGATCCGGCCCATCAGGACTTTGGATCCGGCCTGCAGGATTGTCACCCCCTTGGCACCGCAGGGCCCACGCCACTCCCGGAAGCGGCCGGCACCATGTCCCTGTGGCCCCTGGGGGTGCTGGGACAGAGGGCTCCGCGCTCTGCCCTTGCCTGCAGGCACCGCCCCCCCGCAGCTCCCATTGGCCGGGAATGGGAACTGCAGCCAATGGGAGCTTCAGGGGAGGTACACGCAGGCTAGAGCAGCGCGCCAAGCCCTCTGCCCCCTCTCCCCCAGGGGCTATAGGGACGTGGTGCTGCTTCCGGGAGCAGTGTGGGGCCAGGGCGGGCAGGCAGGCAGGGAGCCTGTCTTAGTCCCGCTGTGCGCCGCTGTCATCCCGGAGCTGCTCAAGGTAAGTGACGCGGGCCGCAGCCCGCAACCTGAACCCCTCCTGCACCCCAACCCCCTTCCCTGAGCACCCTGCTGCACTCCTCCTGCACTTCAACCCTCTGCCCTGAGCCCCCAACCTCCTGCCACACCCCTCCTGCACCCGACCCCCTGCCCTAGGCCCCCTACTGCACTCCACACCCTGCCCTGCACCCCTGCCCTGCACCCCCTCCTGCACCCCAACCTCCTGCCCAGAGCCCCTTCCTGCACACCGCACCCCCTCCCACACTCTAACTCCCTCCCACACCCCAACCCCCTTCCCAAGCCCTACATTCATGGCCCTGCATGCAATTTCCCCACCCAGATGTGGCCCCTCGGTCCAAAAAGTTTGCCCACCCCTGGGTTAGAGTGTATGTCACCCAAGCTGGGAATGACATTTCTAGCTCCAGTGACTACTTACCATCTGACAAATGTGGGGTTGGAGTTACCCCTTCCGCACCCGCTTGAGAAGGGATTCTATACTATCCTACACTAATGGACTGGAGTGGGCGAAGGTGCCTGCCCAGGGGGTAGCAGGGCCACCCCTTTCTGAGCATGGGGTCAGTTTCCGGAGGGGTAGGACCGAAGGGATTGGTGGAGCCTTGCTTCAAACTTGAAGCTGGGAGAGGAAGACGGGGTGAACCTTTCCAACTGCCTTGTTCTATACACTCCCCCTGAGCTCTGGTATTGGCTGCTTTCGGAGACAGGACACTGGGCTAGGTGGGCCATCGGTCTGACCCAATATGGCCATTCTTACCCCCTGTCCATTTCCTGGGTTCCACTGGCTGCTGAACAGCCCTAGCACTTGGGCTTTTAGAGCAGCGCGGGTCAGTCAATTCACCTGTGCATCTGCTGTGAGCCTCCCGGGAGGGGTCCACTGCCAGGCAGCACAAGGTGAACCTCATGGGGTGGCAATGCTGGGGCCTCAAAAGGCAGAGCCATCCCTAGGAACAGGTCACCAGTGTGGCTGCACCCGCAGGGCCCCATCTTCACCCCCGTGCCGCGTCAGAGGTGGGTGCACGGCATTGATTTTGAGGCAGCAGGGAGGAGTGAGGGTGCAGGCTACTGAGCCCTGGCGAGCGTCAGGGGAGGAGACAGAAGTGCCCGGCCTGGGAGACACCTAGAAAGAGGTGAGTTAAGGAAGGGTCTATAAGACTATAAGAACGGCCATCCTGGGTCAGACTAATCCATCTAGCCCAGGATCCTGTCTTCCAATAGTGACCAGTGCCAGGTGCCCCAGAGGGAATGAACAGAACAGGGAATCATCAAGTGATCCACCCCCGTTGCCGATTCCCAGCTTCTGGCAAACAGAGGCAAGGGACACCATCCCTGCCCATCCTGGCTAATAGCCATTGATGGACCTATCCTCCATGAATGCATCGAGTTCTTTTTTAAACCCTGTTATAATCTTGGCCTTCACAACATCTGCACCTCTATGCCTCTGTAGGTCCAGGCTGGATGGGATTGGGGGTCCACAGGCCCATAGGTTTTTGATCCATGTGTAAGGTCTGAGGCTGTACTCTGCAGCCACATTAGGACAGCAGCAGCTATGAGCAGAAAGTCATATCCTCAGGTTCCCTCTAAATTAGACCAAAATAATGAAATATTGAGCTGTTAAGAAGGCACTCCTGCCCTAATAGTACCCGCCATCACCAGATAAAGAAATAGATCTTAAGATGTTTAAAGAAAATTTTGTTTGATAACCCCAGATGACCTGATCCTGACTGACCACCAGGAAAAGTTTGTCTGCCTTATTGGGAGTACTCAGCGTTGTATGCTTAGCATGAGTATTCTGTTCTGGTAACTGTTAATAAATAGATGTTAAGGATATTATTGGGTAAGGCTCTTTCACTGGTAAAAGGCCCTGCAGATGTGCAGAACATTATGCACTGAGCACTAGAAATTGGGTATGGGTGGTGCTGAGCCCTAGGAAGGTAGGTGCATTTCGCCTAGAGCACTAGGAACTGGGAAAGGGGCAGGGATGCCTAAATTAACCAGGTTACGCCATGAGCCCACAGAAGGGTAAAGGTAGGGTGCCCTTGAGTGTGTGGATAACACATGGGTAAGGGGGCCCGTGTCAAAGAATGCCAGAATCTGCTACAGGGAAGGAGGAAACAGGAGATACAAGCCATAATCGAGGACAAAGGTCTTAAAAACCAACCTGGTCTGGTGGGGAAGTGAAAGGCAGCTATGGAAAATTAAAAAAAAAAAAAAAAAAGACAACAAATGGAAGAAAGGAGAAGTGGATAGTAACTGATATAAATCAGAAGCTCGGAAAAAAAGATGATGTAGTCATATTACTTGATGATAATGATGATGACACTCTTTCCATTCCAATAATAACTTAGGAGGATGTTAAACGGCAGCTGCTAAAGTCAGATATTTTTAAATCAGCAGGTCTGGATAACTTGCACCCAAGAGTTTTAAAAGAGCTGGCTCAGGGCGTCACTGGATCTGTAAGATGTCTTAGAATACTGGGGAAGTTCCAGATGATTGGAAGAAAGCTAATGTTGTGCCAATATTGAGAAAGGGTAAACTGGACAACATGGGTCATTACAGGCCTGTCAAGCTGACATCAATCCCAGGCAAGATAATGGAGTGGCTGATAAGGGACTTGATTAATAAAGAATTAAAGGAGCATAATGTAATTTATACTAATCAACATGGGTTTATGGAAAATAGATCCTGTCAAACCAACTTGATATCTTTTTTTGATGAGATGACAAGTTTGGCTGCTAAAGGTAATAGTGCTTATGTAATGTACTTAGAATCCTGTGAAGCGTTTGACTTGATATGGTTGAGCACTACTGAGTCTTTCCCTTCTCAAGCAAAAGTACTCCTTTGCAGGTTCGACCTGTTACCCACCTGGTCCGAGATATCCAATTCCAGAGTCTTGGGTAAGTATTTAAACAATAGCTTTTATTAGCTTAACGAAGAGAAGGTGAAGGGGTTACTTGATCACGATCCAATGGTTGGAAGTTGAAGCTGGACAAATTCTGATGGGGAATAAGGTGTAAATTTTCAACATTGAGGGTAATTAACTGCTGGGACAGTTTACCAAGAGTTGGGGTGGATTCTCCGTCACTGGCAACTTTTAAATCAAGACTGGATGTTTTTCTAAAAGCTCTTCTCTAGGAATTATTTTGGGGCAGGTCTCTGGCCTGTGTTCTACAGGAGGTCAGACTAGATGATCACAGTGGTCCCTTCTGGCCTTGGAATCTGGGACTTTTTGGACAAAAATGGCGGGAAACTATCCGTGCCATGAGCGCATTTGCATGGGGTGGATTGGCTTGGGGCCCCATTCAGCTACCGCTGACTCTAGAGAGATGGGTTTGGAGGGACAGCAAAGCAGGTGTGTCATGAACGACCAATAAACCACCTACATGAGGAAAAGTGGAGTAAATGTTTTTTTAAAGTTACATTTTTAATATTCCTGGAG